ATAATGCCTAGCGTAGACTGTGTTTCAAAACCTCCCTCAACGGAGGCAGAGAAGCTACGGGTACATTTGTTCACAGTCCTTAAGTCGCAGCAGCCAGGAGTTCCAAATATTACACCCGCAGAGTGAAGAGCCTTAAACACCCTAAAAACAGGTGGACAACATAGTGATTGCAAAGGCGGATAAGGGTAAGGTCACTGTTGTCATGAACAAGAGTGATTATTTACAGAAGGTTAAGCAACACATATCTGGGGGTCTTTACCAGGAGATCGATAACGTGAATATTACATTTATCATGAATAGGAGTAAAGTCGAAGTTGGATGATATTTTCGTTTCGTAATAAACCACTTAGGGTAAGGCAACTGGTACAGATTGTACCCCAAGATTGCAACCCAACCACGACTTTATGGCCTTCCAAAAATCAATAAACCAGATGTCCGGGTGAGACCGATAGTGGACGGAATAGGTTCCCCACCGCATGAACTGCCCAGATTCTCGGCCGGTAATTTGAAGACTAGTACTTACATTAAGAATTCATGACTTCTCCAAAAAAGTGGCGGGTGTCACTGTTGAACCAGATGACATCCTTGTAAGTTTCGATGTGAATTCGTTATATACAAATGTGCCAAAAGGGGATTATTTAGAAATATCCAAGCAACTGCTATTAGCGGACACCATCCTTTCAGAACCGACACAGCTTACGGAAGGTGAAATAGTGTGAATCTCACCCACTTCGTTTTAAACTCAGTGGTTTATACTCAAGAACAAGGTCTAGCAATGGGATCCCCAATATCCCCGGTTGTGGCAAATATATTTATATAAGAATTGGAAGAGCTTTAGCCGGATCCCCAGCTTTAGCCGGATTCCCACACCCACCAAAGATATTCTGGCGGTATGTAGATGACACTTTCGTCGTCATGAAACGGGACAAGGTTAATGAGTTTTACAATTATCTGAATGAACTGAGTCCACAGATCAAATTTAGTATGGAGATAGAGTCAACATCGGGTAAACTGGCCTTCTTAGACTGCATGACACATAAGGTTGGGGGGAGACTAAAGACCACAGTGTATGAAAAGCCAACCGACACTGGGGCAGTTTTGAACTACTCGTCTGCCCATCCGAAGTCGGTATTCGCCAGTATTGCATCATCAATGTTTGGGCGTGTAAGGGCCCTGTGCACAGAAGAAGCTGATCGGACAGCGGCCCAAATTGAAGTAGAGAACAAACGTCGGGGTAGCGGATATCCAGGTAGCTTGATTAGGCGTCAATTGCGAAGGGTGTTGGTACAGGTAGCGAAAACCAACAGGGAATGGGTCGGGACTGCTGTTATTCCATATAAACCAGGTCATTCGAAGAATTCTAAACACGGTTAGCATAAGAGTAGCTTTCCAGATGGGCAACACTGCGCTCTGCACTGGTGCGATTGAAGGATCGCCTCCCGAGAAAAAGAACCAAGGACTGTGTATACAAAATTAAGTGTAATGACTGCACCAAGGTCTGCATAGGACAGACGGACAAGGAACAAATGAAAACACAAGTTCAGTGTCTCTCCCCTTTGGTTCGAACTCACCGGAGTAGTTTCACCAGAACAGGAGGAGAAATTTTCAAACGACAGTGATGTCGGTGTGAAGTCTTTTTCCACATTTCAGGAATCGAAATCATCCAGGAACTCGACTACAAGGGAGGAGGAGTGCACATCGGATGAGTCCATCGCGTTTCGAATGCCGAGAACGACAGGCCTTCGAAGTTCAGGAGACTGAACCTTCAGCACTAAATCAATGTCACTACTCGCTAAAGCCAACCGGTGAGATAAAATTTCGAACGTCAGCTCTAGCGTATAGACATACATAAGAAAGCTCAGATATCGAATTTAGGCACATCTGTGCCGGTCATGCAAGCGATTCCTGAGTTGACCACCAAACTGAACCGATTTGAATCGGTTTGGGGGAAGAGTACTTTTAGCAATTAATTGGTCCTCAAGTCTTGTCGCACTGTGCAACGCTGGAGCAGTAATGTAGGGACCAGAACTCATTTGCCTACAGGTTTATTAGCCGGGATGAATAAAGTGGGACGCAGCAGTCGGTGCCTTCAAACCTGCAGAATCCCATTCTGAAGCTTGGACTGCTTCGTTCAAGAACGACGGTGAATCTCTCAGCGTGACTGTCTGGTTTATTTGAATCTACCTATTAGAAGCATACCGTGCCATACAACTGGGGTCGGTTGGTAATTGGGTCCATCTTCGAAGAGGTTACTCGCAATCGATATAGTGACTGCAGAGGTGTAAGTTTGATTCCCGTTGTAACAAGGGTTCTGGTGTCATTGGCTCTTCGCCATCTTGGTATGTCACCCAAAGCCTTGATTCGTGGACAACGAGCATAATTTCGGCCGAGTAGGGGATGCGTCGATATACCATCTCCACACTCCATCAGCTGTCAGAGCTGCGCCGTAAGTTGAGATTACCCATACTCTTGGTGCGTCTTGACTTTAAATCTTCGTTCGATCAGCTCTTCTTACAATGCTATAAATGGTAGCTTTTGACTGAGGATAGTTCGTGAGACCACCAACTGTCTAGGTAGGAGAGCGATGAAAAGGCAAGTACCATACTAATGTCGGGGCCACGGGAACTGTTCCTCAGTGCTTGCGATTCTGACAGAGATGGGAATTCAGATCACCAGTGGCATCTCATATTCATCGCTTAGCTTATTTGCTGACGATCCCCTCCAAACGCTGAAGCCCCTTGAACCGGAAGATGAAGGAACTAAACCAGAACAGAACTGATTTGAAATTCCCCCAAGCCATGAAGATGAAGGTTTAGCCAACCACACTAACTGACAGACTACTTAACTGACAATCGGCACTGATCTATAATGTCTGGAGAGGCTCTACTGTTTGGTCCTCCGTGTCCCTTCAAACGTGGCCAAATTGTTGACCTGCTCACTTGACCTCATAAAGATTTTATGTCAGAAGAAAAGGGTTTCTGAGTTAAAAGCTACAGATTGTCTGCTAAGCCATTGTGAAACCAGTCGAACTAATTTCTACAATTTATAGCCCAAGCGGTTGGTTGTTTTGAGAGCATGGAGGCTGCGTTCGCCAATCTTGCAATAAAAACCAATGCGTTTGTCGCACTAGTCTGGCGTGTCGAATCTGTATTTACTCTGAAAGCTAGCAGGTTTCATTTGGAACGCCTGTTCAACATCATCAAATGATCTTTAGAGGAAGAAAAAGGAAACAATGGAGCGGATATCAACACGGAGATATTCCTCTAATTCGACTGGGTCCCTCACATCAATCAAGAAGGTATGTCGTAAAATTGTTTTGTTTGTACTCACGAGCTAGCTTGCCATTTCAGATTGACGCGTTCGATCCAGAGGACAGGCTCCGAAGACAACTATGCTTGCACACCTTTCTAGCGGATAAGCATGTTCGAATTCTACATATACCAGGGTCTACTTACTAATTTCATCACATCACTGCTCAGAAAACAACGCGATGTTGTGAGACGTTTGTGAACCTAGGTAAGTGTAGTGAATGCGTGGATCACTTGTTGATGGGACCCTGTCCCGTTTCAGCTACGTTACATAATATTTCTACTATTCATCTACTGACAAGGAGTCTGAGCGCTTTGATCTCTCTGTAGGACACTGCGCTTCATTTACGGGCATTCATGCACACACACACACACACCACACACACACTGACAAGGAGTCTGAGCGCTTTGATCTCTCTGTAGGACACTGCGCTTCATTTACGGGCATTCATGCACACACACACACACACACAGGCAGTGCAACCACGTTCAGGGTTTTGTGTACAGATTCTCACCAGGTGAATCTCGTCTCACTTCGCCGGCCCTCATGAACACCATTTAGGCTTGCCATCTCTGGTGCAACCGAGGACACTGAAACTCAAGTCCACCCGATTACTGTTGTAGTTGAATTCGAAGGGGTGGAAATCTATAAATGAATGTGGAACAGCTGCAATGAACTTGTCAGTTTACTTTCTTTACTAGTAAAATGCACCCTATTAGCTGCACGTCTCGGCTTTGCTCTGCTGGCTCCCGGCAGTTTTACATGGACATTTCAGCCTAATAGCATCTACTTACCAACGAGCAGCTAGAAATGCTTACGGAAGGGTTAGTCAAGATAAACACTAATGGAATGGTATGTTATGACCTGACATCGCGGATATCATGGGCAACCTTTTTCAATGAATTTGCAATCAACTTACATACTATTATGATAAGCTGTAGCCGGAGGCAGTCTTGAACGACGAAATATTCTGATACTGTGACCAGAATATTCGTTAAGTATTGAAACAATCTTCTCTGTCGACTATTTATTGTTTTCGTGTTCAGACTTTTCCCACATGAATGATACTAGGGTAATTCTTACCTGCATATAACACCACTTCCATGGAGAACCATAATAGTAACTCAGATCTGATTGAGTTTAGTCCGTGTTTCCATCCGAAGAAGTCAGGTAATACCATTGGAATGTTGTCAGCAGTGCACATTTTCACGTCACTTAGTGTTAAGCCACATGTTGCAACAGACACAGCAAAACGAGCATGTGTGAACCGGGCACTTGATGACAGAATTAGATTACACTGCCAAGCCTCATAATTAAAGTAACGATGGTCGATGATTTCCAGCTCATAAACATCATATGACCAAGTTGAAAGATTGGCTAGGGTTGAACATCACGCTGAAACGGGCTTGGGTAAAGAATTAAGTGCGCATCGGCCGATTTTTCTGTGGAACCAGAAAAGATCAGTCACAAGAAACCTTTTTATCTGGAGTCTAACAGTCTGAAAGTGTTGTCGAAAGAGTCAAGTGACGGATCTCTCGGTTGTGATTTTAGTGTACCTGTTTTCATGGACGATTTCATCAAACCCCGAGAAATATTGAAAATAAATTTGAATGAATAATTTATTGTATCAGAAATTGATTGTATTAGAAATCCGTACTATCTGAAATGGGAATTTCGGATTGCTGGAATCACTTCTTATCTGCTACCCATTCTAAATATCCACCCTTGAAATTTGAAGCCCTTAAGATAAAACAATCAGTCGAACTACTTCCTACCATTTATAGCCCAAGCGGTTGGCTATTTTTAGAGCAAGAAGGCTGCGTTTACCACTCCGGCAAGAAAAAACGATGTTTTTGTCGCTCTTGTCTGGTTTGGCGACGCCGTATTTCTTCTGAAAGTCAGCTGGTTCCATTTGGAATGCCTGTTCAACACCATCAACTATGATCCTGTAGAGGTAAAAAAAAATGAAACAATTACGCGGTATGTTGATCGCACCGTCAATACGGCCAGACTCTTCTAATTCCACTGGATCCCTCACATCAATCAACATAACATTTTTGGTTCGTATTCGTTCTCGCAACTCATGGCAGTCGATGTGGACAATACCTTCAGACCTAAGTGTCAAGGGTGTAAGGGACAATTGAGAGTGATAGACCGTGGGTCATTTTTGTCACTAGGTGACGCAAAGCTCCGCTGAAGTACCAGGGTGGGGTGCAACTTCATTTGAGCATGATAATCATCACCCAAAGCAGGCCTGAAAATGTGGAATTGTTTACACAAAAACGGGATTATCAATCCACGAAACAAGGGAAGATTTGCCATTGCTATTTATTATAATGACAACTTCCGCAATTGTAATAACGGATCGGTTACCAGGAGACCGAGAAACGGAAGTGGACGGCGGTCTACCTCTGAAAAACAGGATGAGTAATGGTGAAACAAGGTAAATGACAAGAACTAAGGATTTCGAAAATAGACAATTCGTTACGGAGCTCCCCTAGAGCTGAATCTATAAAAACGGGACAGAAACGCGACAAACTGAACACCTGAAAAGGACAAACACTTGACTCCATTAAATCCTCATCAAGCCTGGACTGAGACGTCCAAGACACTGTAAGTTTCCTCCAAACTATCTCTGAATAACACTCCCACCATACAGAAACGCGATTTGTTTGAAGGAAGCATTGGACAGAAATACAGAAACGAAGCAACAGGAATATCAAAATAGCACAGCTTTTATATTAACTTTGTTGGTCAGCGGTGCCCATTTTCTCTTTCCTCCGGCAGTCTACCATATAAGCCGTTATCGAGATAGAAGGGAAGAGGGAGTTGTGCTTGGTTGACACAGAAGCAGGGATATCACTGAGGCGGGGAGGAAACAAAACTGAATGCAGACCATGCGCGCTAGCCGTGAGAGCAGTGGGTGGATATCGATTGAAGATTGACGGATTGTCAATCCACTCAATACGCCTAGGCGACAAGTCCGTGCAGCACGCGTTCCTGATTAGCCCAGACATAGAGCAGACAATATTAGGGGCAGATTTTCTCAAGAGCACAGATTACGTGGTTGACCTAAAGCAGGGAAAACTGGTGGAAAGGTATGGCAGAGTCAAGCTCGAAGGTTACTCAAGCACTGCCGTGAGCGAGGTGAATGTCCGAAAGCTTCCGTCTTGTAACATACCGTCAGTAAGTCCATGATCGAGGAATATTTCTCTCTGTTCACGGGCGATGAGGATCCGTTTGGCTTCTGCCCGTGGGTTGAACACGAAATTCCCCTCTCGTCAGAACGCTTTCAACCTTACGGCCCCGTCCGCTGCCGCTACGTCTACGGGAGAAGATCCATAAACAAATTCAAGAGATGTTGAAGAATGGCATAATCGAAGAAGCCAATAGTGCGTACAACTCCCGGTTTTCCTTGTAAGGAAGGCGAACGGAAAATATAAGTTTTGCGTGGATTTCCGGCGCTTGAATGAACTGGCAACTACCTATCAAGGCGGAGGAGCGTGAGAAAACGGCGTTCACGGTTGGGGATATCCAATATCAACTTAGAAGAATGCCGTTTAGTTCGTCTGGGGCAAAATTCACGTTCCTTTAACGAAGGGACTCTAGAATGTTCCCGTGTATGGAGACGATATCGCTGTGTACAGCAATTCGGAAGCAGGGCACGCAGTTCACATGAAGACAGTATTCAAGCGTATCAGGGAGGCTCGCTCGGAGTTCGGTGATACAGCTGTAGCATAAAGTGGGTCACGGAGAGGTTAGTTCACTGCCAGAAAAATTGGCAAAGATGGAGGATTGTGATGTTCCCAATTCAAAGCGGTCTCGACGGCAGTTTCTCGGACGAGCAGCATACGACACCCGGTTTGTTAAAGATTTTAACATGGTTGCTGCTCCACTGTACGACTTGTTCACGCAAAATCGGAAATGCAAATGGACCAGAGAAGCATATGAGGCTTTCGAGCATGTCAAAGCGCGGATGCTGGATCAGCAACTGATCCTCAGACTGCCCAGGATCGGAGAGATGTTCACTGTTGCAACGGACGCTAGTGATCGCGGCATTGACGCGCTAATAAAGCAAGGGATTGGAGTTATCGAATATGCCAGTCATGTCCTGACTAACGCTGAACAAAAGTACTCGACCACTGAGAAAGGATGTTTAGCGATCGTCTGGGCCCTGGACAAATAGAGGCCATATCAGCTTGGACAGAGATTTCATGTCGAAACCGATCACAACCGCCTGGAGTGGATCAAGACCACCAGAGATCCTCGCGGAAAGCTCGCGCGCTTGGCACTTCGGTTGAAAGAGTACGACTTCACGATCCAGCACGTTCCAGGGAAGGAGAACCATTTGGTTGATTGGCTGTCAAGACCACAGACTCAATATGAGGCCCCCAGGATCATGATTGGGGCCAACAGCCTCGTCGTCAAACTGGATCCTGGAAGGTTGGTTCAACTCCAACGACAAGACCCTGTGTTACGGAAGATTGCAACCGCCTTGTTGGATGGAAGGAGCGTTGAGAACGGAGAGAGAGAGAGAGAGAGAGAGAGAGAGAGAGAAGGAATTGGAGACGCTCCCGAGTTATTTTGATCGGCTCAATCTGAATTAAGCTGGAATAGTTTCCTGAAACACCAACGATTCCGATGTTGTGCTTCCCGTGATACCCCGCGTCATGAGACGGAAACTTATCGTCAAATGCCACGAGATGGCACACACAGGGTGCACCGAGACGTGCGACTTACTTCGGCAGAGGGCCTATTGGCCCGGGATGAGAAGTGGGGTGATGGATTATGTGGTGCCTTGTAAGCGGTGCCAACTGATGAAAGGGGATACAACAGGGGCAACCCACCCCATGGAACGCATTCCTGTCTCAGAACTCGGTGAGTTATGATCCGTTGACGTCATCGGCCCCTTTTGCGTGACAACCAACGGGAATCAATATATTGTGATAATAACAGAACGCCTGTCGCGGTGGATCGAGGGGGCAGCCGTTCCCAATCAACGGGTGACGACGATCAGCAGAGTGGTAATGCATCACATCGCGGCCAACCATGAGGTGCAAAAAAAGATTCTAACCGATCAGGGGCCTTGTTTCAAGAGCGAAGAGTTTAGGGATTGTTTGCAGAAGCTGGGCATCAGACGGCTAAGGACGGCACCACACCACCCGCAAACAAATAGTCTAACCGAACGTAATAACCGAACGATCAAGGAGTGGCTAGTGGCCAAAGGTGACTGGGAAATGAACTTGCCAATGGTCTTGCTAGCTAATTGTGCTTCCATACAGTCAACGACAGACAATCCCGTTCATGCTGATGCACGGTCGACATCCGCGCCTTCCAGTTGATCAGGAAATTGGGTTGTGGCCGGCAACACCCTTGTCTCCGGAGGAGCTAGAGGAAGTAAGGAGGAAAGCCCGAGAAAACTTGACCGCCGTTCAGGAAAGGACTAAGCAGAAAACGGCAAGTAGAAAGGCACGACCATTCCCCATAGGCACGAAGGTCAAGTGAAAAGATCATCAGAATCCGGGAAGGAGTAGACTGGGTCGCGGAAGCTGGGCAGTCGATGGCAAGTTCCGTTTGTCGTTACAGACCGTCGGGGGAACGTCTATACAATTCAAGATGGTCGGGGATCAAAAAAAGTAAATGGGACCCAAATTCGTAAGTGGAATGATACACCCGATGGGCAGCTGAATAGACCAGCTGCTGGAGCCGACCTAACGGAGGTGAATAAAAATTGGTGGCGTGCGAATGACCTTTAAAAGGGGGAGGTGTGTTCTCCCTGACACGCTTGCTCATGAAGGAATGCTCCGAGAAGCTTGTGAACACAATGTGTTCTTTGTATTATCAGACTTTCGGACTTGTGAGCGTATACAGAGAGTCCTCCAAAAACCTGCCGTAAACAAAGTGGTGTCCGTCAGGGATTCCCACTTTCTCCAGTCGTATTTGATTGTGATGGATGAGATAATGAGACGAACGCTAGAAGGTCTCCAAACCCCTGGTGTTCAAATAGCCTGTGACAAAAACCTTGTCGATCCGAAATAGGCATACGAAATCATTCTCATCTTCGAAGAGAAGGTGCAAGTGTTTTTGGGCTGGCCAAAGTCATTCTGTCCTTTGAAACGCACTTTGCACCCAAAAAAGTGTAAGGTCATGCTCCTGGACATGTAGTCACTAACCATACCAATTACAATCCACGGGGAGACATTCGAACTTGTGGAGTGTTTCACGTACCTTGGAAATTGTATTGCTTCTGACTGTTGACAGATGAGGACAACGCACGAATCTGAAAGGCTCAGAACGCGTTTCCTAATTTGAGGCACGTATAGCATTAAAGCGGTATATCACTGAATCTCAAGGGACGTGTGAATCAAGTTACACTATGAGCTGTTTAGTTGTATGGCTGTGAGACTTGGCGTATTCGAGCAGCGGAACTGAGGCGTCTTCAGGTGTTCCACAATCGTTGTCTTAGAACCATACCTCATGTGGGTTGATGTCGGCGAATCCGTAATGAGGTAGTTAGGAAGCGCGTTTTCGGCTGTATAACAGGGACTTCCGTTGAGGAATGTGTCCAGCACCAGGAGCTGCGTTGGTAAGGCCATCTATTGCGCATGCCGAACCATCGTTTGCCGAAGAAAGTGCCGTTTCCCGCACCGAATTGAGACTGGCGGAAGCAGGTAGTTTGTAACCCTTAACATGGTAGGGTGATATGAAAAAGATTACGAAACGCTTAGGTGCTGTCGGTGCTACTCGCTTTCCAAAATGGGGACCGCGTGATCCCCATTGCGCCTGGTTAGAGACGCTGCTAATCGATTTCAATGGCGCTCTTGTTGTCAGTTTGCCTGTTGTCAGGTTGCCCGAATGAGTGTTTGGAGGTGTGGGCACCTCGGAATGACTGTAGTAAGCTGGGACTAGGTCCCTTGCCTGTCCACCTTTATTCTTTCCTTCACAATATGACTTTCAGATAAATCATGGTTGTACTGCAGCGAAGCAGGAGTGTTGACCACTGATGTCATGCTATCCATGGTGATGGTGCCTGGGATCAAAAGGGAGCATAGTATGAGAATATGTGCTTTCACAATTTGCCGTATGCAGGACGGCGCTTGGCTGTTTCATTTCAGTAATCAAAGGTCCGAGTAGCTAAGGGGTTTGTTGAATATGTAGTCAAAGTTCACTCGTCCGAACAGCTTCCCCTTGTGTATGGGTCTGCGCATTTGCCGTTTACCTTCACAAAGATACCGGACCTTACCATGGTGCTACGGTTTGTGTGCCTCCGTGTTCTACTGAGCTACACTGGGGGAGTGTCAACAGGATACAGGCAGTTTCTC